GTGGCTTCATTCCAACGCCAACCATCCGCACAGCTGATCCCCTGTAAGAACTCTACGATCGTACAGGTGACGATTTCCATGCTTTTTCGTGATGCAGTTCCGTTTTTCACTCGAAGGTGGGCTTTGAAGACAGAGTCAGGAGGCGGTGTCACTGGAAAAAAAGGCGTCACTGGACCTGTATTTCCCTTCCCTTCTGGTACAGGGCTGTTCAACGCGGACTACACTACCCTCCAGACGCATATTTTCAACTTCTATACCTGATCGCGGACCGTGCCTTTAAAGTCCCAAGAGGGAATTTTGGACGAGTTTCTTGTTGCCAATAACGCGTACGGTGAGGATCCAGCTGTGTGTACGTACTCACATATCCACGCAGCACCGCAGCCGCTTCATGTCAATCCCCTCGCATCACCTTTTACTTCGCAAATGTAGCAATACGAGCATCAGGCACAGTCGTTCATTTGTGGGCGGGCGGGCGCGGTGGGCGTCCGGTCGGTATGTTGTAGATTGATAGGGCCTCATAGGGGTACCTGCTCTGAAGAATGCGCCACGCAGCGCCTGCTCAGGCGCACAGTATTCTATCCTGCCAAGCCTATTAATCCTATTCATCTTATGGCTAGAGACTTATCGTGCCAACTGCCTTTAAACGGAGGACTTCCCACAGTCTCAATTTTGTTTACCAAGCACGATGTAGCCTGCTAATCATGAACAAAAGAGGACTAAAGGCTTTCGGCGCCTGTTAGTCCTTATTGCGCTATTTTACTATTTTACCTCAGATTCAGAGTCGTGGTGGTTTTAAGAGTAACTTTCAAGAGTCGATACAAGGGCTCACAGGGACAGGGGCCCATCCAAAAATCAGTGTCTTTATTCTGTAACATAGCCCATTAATTACTTGACTCTTCACCGCGCGTAGCAAACGGCGCCACTTGCCAATACACTACCTCGGCCCGGGTATGGAAAGCTACTTCCCAATGTAGGCGCAAGTGGAGTGCCGTAAGCAACATCCAAATAAGGACCCAACCCAATCAACATGGCAGTGACAATGGCCACTTTTGCTGCCATCTCAACCTGTACTAGACGCCACGGATGGGAGGTAACACTTTCTAGTCCCACCAAGAGCAGTATCAACCCCACCAGTCAATGTTATGTTACTTGGCGGCCTGTTCTTCGAGTTTGCAGCGGTTCTGTTCTGAGGTGATCAGGAACACTTTTGTGTGGGCTGCGTCGACGTAGTTAAATGTCTTCGGGAAGACAATGCCATTCGGTGTCGTTAAGACATAAATTAGAGTCGTTGGCTAGCAAAAAATCGCTCGAGAATATTGAACACGCGAACATTGTGTGGCGACATATGAAAAACCCATAGCTGTTTTTCGGGATGAGGTGGTGGTGTGGCATTAGTTCTTTTCAATTCTTTCCAAGCTTCCCGTGCAAAGCGTACGGTTCAGTCGGATTCAGAATCGGCCCTAGTTCGGACCAACCAAACCTGCCATTGCCGTTGCCGGTAAAGTATATTGCATCTAAGAAGCCACAATGTTTCTGAATGGAAGAGCACTACATTTGCTATCGTCGCAATCAGTCGCGGACGATATAAAGAGGGCTGCCGTGAGTTTTCGCGGCGTTTTTACCACTGGTTCTTGCCATTAGTAGCACTATTGGTAGAAAAGATCATCCCTTATTCCGCCTTCGTGACACCGCCCCAACTGATCGCGAGTGTGAACTATAAAGGGGCGATTAAAAAAGGCACTCGGCCGAGTCACATATCAGCAAAGTTTTCGCAGCCCAGACAGAAGACGTGGATACGAGTAATGATACCCAAGATGTTCCTCTATAAGCAGGAGCAGACCCTCGCCCATCACCTTCATGTACACCAAAGCCATCTCCTGTTGCAGCCCGACTGGAGAAGGCCTATGGGATTCACGGAAGGCTTTGATGAGGTAATGCGGGATTTAACCTCACTTAAGCGACTTGTCACTCGCCACTGTGGATCGCCGTGTGTGGGGTGTATGGGTCTGCAGCTGCGGTAGCGGGCCACTTTCTTCTCCGGTCTAAAGTGCACGGTAACAGGCTGGACGGTTGTTGTACCCGGACGCCATTCTCATGCCAGCTCTGTTGCACGGCCAGCCACACGCACAACTATGGCGTAACGCGCTGCTTGCCTGCACTCTCTTACTTCTTTTTGTTCTCGGTCACTGAGTGCGTCTTTCGCTGCAGGATATAAGTAGCGACGCAAGTGTTGCACACTTACACTCCGTTATCTACACTCACTACGGCTCCTTATCCCTGAGCCAGAGTAGGCGTGCATTTGAACATGGCACGGAATTGGTTACTCGTAGGAATATTTCAGTCTGGAACAACTGTCATCTTGTTCTGTGTTGGACATTTCACGATGTCCAACACAGGACAAGACACGACAACAATTGTGTCAAGATGAAAATATCTCACCAGAAGCATAGACACCTTCAGGTTAAGTTGAAGCATGCAGCCATGCCTACCCGAACTCAGGGATTTTGAGTATAGGATAGCGCGGGCGTAGTATGCTATCCCAGTATTCCTACTCTACATCCTCGTTCTCCCTGGGGAAAGGTGGCACGCTGTTGCAGCTACGGGCCCATACACCTCGGACAAGGAAGGATCTGTCCTTTCAATTTGAGTTTACAACCTGTATCTATGAGAAGGAATGAATTAGAAAAAAGTTATAAGACTTATGAAGAGCGTCATAAGCTGAAAATCGAGGATCTGCAGCAGTCTTCCGGAAATGTAGGATGAGTTTCCTGCCCACTGTGTCATTTTTTCCTTGAAAAAGCTACAGTTGTTCGGGGAGGTTGTCCTCTGGAAAAACTTCAAAAAGCCTCATTGCCGTCACTGCAACCACTGAAGCAATCGCGGTCTTTACAATCGGCGGAGATAGTGGTCGCTGAACAACGACTTTTGGGCGCTTGCTGGGCTAATCAACAACAGGAACTGCTCAATGGCTAACAAAAGCTATTTTGAAATTGGCCGCCCCAGTCGGGGCGGCTGCATATAATTTTATACCTCCGTAAACTCTGGCTATAAATACCATTTTGAACTATTGTTCAAACACTAACAGGTGTGGATAATGGCACTGTTAAAATCAAACTGACGTCCGAATCCCTCTCGCTTGAATGAATGCGTTGTAGTAGGCGCTTGAGAAGTAGACGGCGTATCAGCTTTAACCGCTTCAATAATAGATTGAATATCTCGTGGGTCTAGACGAATTACGGTTTCTAGCAACTCCTCCTCGAAGACTTGTTCTTGTGGCTGTTGGTTCGGAGGCGGCTGCTCCATTAGTTCGTGTAGAGGAATATCAGCGTCGTCCGGCATATCTGGCGCGATGGATATCTGTCGAAAACCAGAGGGCGAAAGACCAACCGCTCACGGTCTTCACAATAGCCTGGAATGGCTCCTCATCCTTGCTACCAGGGATCACATGTCTTGTGTATCAAAGACCACGCTTACGAAATAGCGTGGTCCGTTGTTGTTGTGAACATCATGTGATCCCTGGTACCCTATACAGTAACGATTTCGCAATAGTTCAAAATACCACTTTACTAGTGTGAGGCCTATTATTGTAGTGTGAGGGGGAGGGGGACGCGGGTAGGAGATCCTAGAGCAGCTACAGGCCTAACGTGATCAACATCACGTTCAGCTAAGCGATGCTAGTAGCAGCAGCTGAGAGCGGTGATTGAGACGATGTCCACCAGCTCCAAAATAGACTACCTCCTCTGCTACTTGAGCACCATTAAAGGCAGTTGGCACGATGGTTTCCTACTTAGCCTAAAATGCTAGTAGGGCGCTGTATAGTGGGGAAATGGCGAAAGAACGGAGTGAAACGGTCAAAATCCGGCGAAGAAAATCATGCAGCATCACGGCCGCTTCATACCAATCCCTTCGCTTCATAATTTGCTTAGCAAATGAATGAATACGAGCGTCAGGAACGGTCGTCCATTTGTGGGCGGGCGGGCGTGGCGGGCGTTTGGGACGTAAAGTTGTGGCTTGATAGGGCCCTTATAAGGGCACCTTCCTCGGGGAAACCGCTATGCAGCGCCTGCCCAGGGTCGCGGAATTCTATCCTGCCAGGAGTATTGAAGGGGATTTATCGTGCCAACTGCTTTTAAGGAACGAAAGGAATAACCTCCAAAATCCTATGTGGGATTGATCTTGATAACTGCTGGAATCGGGTGTATCAGTCAGCAACAAGAGTTACGGAGCAGAATTCCGATATAGCTCATAAGTTCAGAAACACATTACGAGACTGCGGGAGGGAAGGAGAGGGGAGTGGAATTGTTTTCCTTGACATATGTGATTTCAGAAATTGTCCCACCCTCACCACTCGCGTGTGCTGCATTTTAAGCTCAACGGTTGTTCTTCCAAACTGGGAAGTTATGCTAACGATATCACCTATAAACACAGGTTTGAGGCGTAGCGTTCATTCTCTGTAAACCTTGTCGCCTCGCTTGTCTTTTCTTTCCCTCGTGCTTTGTCTACGGTCTCCTGTAGCAGAAAATCGAAGCCTCATCTCCAAAAGTCATGCATCCCAACTTTCTAGCGGAAGCGGCGGGTACGGAAGTTCGCCGCGCGGCGTATCGTGCGGCAATGAGCACGATTCACGCGCGACGGCGCGGCGATGTGCGGCAGACTCTCGATGGGCATCACTTCGCTGATTGGAGCAACGAAGCCCATGCGAATTTCAGCAGAGGCAAGGCTCAGGATCGTGTAACACAGATCTATCAGGTCCCTTTACCAATCATTTCCGAACGGCTGGGTAATACAACTCGTCCCGCGGGCACCGCGTCCGTCGCCCCCACCAGCGCGCATATTACAACTCTCTTGTCACATACCCGCAGTGTACGCTACCAAGGAGCTTAGGTCCTGTAAGCGCAAGGAAAATGAGTCATATGCTTGGTCACCATGGGTTCCAATAAGTTTAGTGGTTAGACTCAATAAAAATTAGAACTCAGGTAAGACTATACTGTCAGGATGAAATGTTGAATATTTCCAGATACCACCACGGCCCGTGCGCTCAAGGTTACAATTTCGTGCCAATCGTGTTCGGTCTGATGCTCTACATCGTCTACGTGATGGAGTGTTGGCATAGCAGATCGAAACTCTCCACAGTGAAAAAGGTTCTTATATCTTTTCAAATTTGGCAAACGTCCCCTTGGGAGTTGGTTCGATAGCGGAACGCATTGGTCTAGGCTTTAGCTATAAAAGCATGCAGTGGCGGGACATTTTCGTTTTCATCTTGAATGGGTTTGGCTTATACAACAACTCTCCGGCTTAACCGGTAACTAAGAGCTATCCACAGGAAAAGTATAGAACATTTACTTTATTTATTACAAAGAAAATAAAGCAAGCAAAAACAAGACATGAAAGAGATAAATTAGTGCTAGACGCAAGAGTAGAAGGAATGGGAAGCATGTCTGCCCTGTTTGAACAGTAGTAGCTCGCAGCAGCAAGTAGTTCGTTCTATAGATCTCTGTGGATCACCTATGTCATGCTATCTTCCAGCCAATCGTCAAATATCTAAGAGCCCATGAAGTTTTCGTTTTTTAGACCTCTGGATTCTCCCATGCAGCTTGGGAGCACAGAGCTTTTCGTTCCACTGGGGCAGAGCTCTCGTGAGGATGTGTGACCACTGGGCGGATGCTCCTTTAGAGTCGGCTTGATTTTCCATGGGATCCTTTCGCTTACCGCCATCATCCAGGGATCAGCGGAAAATGGCATGAAGTGTCCTGATCTTCCTTCCTTGGCAAATACAGCAGTTTCCCTGATCGGTTACTGGGCCGTTGATGCAGTTTGAGTCGTGATTCTCCTTTACATTTTATTATAACGAGGAACTCCAAGCATCAGTCTCTTCAAGAAAGCGCTGAGTGTCAGAGTCCAGGCTCTGAGTGGCAGTCTTAGAGGTGGCCACGAAATCAGTCGTGTGCTTTCATATGTCTCTACCCTTTCCAGCAGGGGTGGGTATCTAGTGCTCCAAGAAGTTGACCGGCGCTCGAGGCTTTGTTTTGTCAGCCCTACCCAATTTAAATAACCAGTTGCTTGAATGAACACGAAGTTTGTTTGAAGTATAATATAATTCAGCATGTGATTGGAATCACTCCCTTCACTAATGAGTTTTAGCATTCCGCTGCTTAGAACTGTTTTTTGGTATTAATCAAGCGTGCGCCACAAGTGAGAGGTGAAAGTCATCGCTTGCAATTCCAGGTTCGAGTTGAAGATGCGTTGCAGTACCTGAAGTCGCTTCGAAATGCACTGCCAATCGTCTGGTGGAAGAGCGTATGTTATCATTACGTACGTAAAACGAGACAAGTGACAAGGTTAGTTGAGAATCTTCACTGAATACAAGAGAGAATTTAGCAGTCAGATGACTCGCTGCTACCGTATTCTGCGCGCTTGGTTTTGTTTTCTTGAGCTTGGGTTACTTCCGAACGCCAATTTATACAGCAGCGGCTCACAGGACTACAAAATCTGACTTGTTCACAGGGCGCAGTACTGCGACTGAGAGTCTGCATCCTATTACAGGTATCGCAATGGTGATGCCGTACCAGCAACGCAGGTCTACTACGAGAGAGTAGACTTCACACTCGGCAGGCAATGTCTTCATCTACGATGTTTGTGGTGTAAAGGTAAGAGGAAATAAGGTGATCTTGCCGCCTATCGATGCCCTCACTCTCCACCAGCACCTTCCATTCTTCACGCAGTACAGTACGGTAGAGGAGATTTTTCTACCGTAACCTCCTCTTACTTAGAGGCAACTTCTTTCTTAGTCGCACACTGCGTGATTTATGGGAAGCTTAGCAGTGATGGATAACATTTCATCGTTGTCAAGCCTATCTACTGATGTTTTTGTTTATCAGGACATCTCAAAGACGGTGCTTGATCTTGAGCGCTTTCCTTTGACGAGAGTACGGGTGACTAGAGGTTTCGTATTTGCATGTATACAAGCAGCCAGGGAATTCGAGCAACAACGGACAAGATTTTTCAACGAGAACGAGACTCGGGACGACTATATGGAGGTAAGTGAAAGCTTTCTATGGAGCAAATATTTTTTTCTTGTCTTACTTCTTCTTCTTACTTGCATCTTCTCCAAGGTTTTCGATGACCTAAGAAAATGTACATAAAAGCTTGGGAAGGGAAGTGTGGGCCGCAATGGGCAATTCTGTACTATTTTCCGTCCCAGGATACCTGTCGATCGCAAAACATGTTACTCTTTTTTGCTTCCTTAATCTTTCTTTCCCTTCCTTTCCTCTTTCTCTTTCCTTTTTCCTTTTCCTTCTCCCTTCAACTGCTGGGTCAGTAGATGCAATCAGAAAACACCCCTGGACTCCTGTTGAGAGCATGTCCGCTTGACAGGAGCCCTGCAACTCTCCATTCTGCTTGTTAGATCGTAGCGCTCACGATAAGGGATCAGCTGAATGGCGTTCCAACGCACGGTCTTTTTCGCCTTGTACTTGCTAGAACATTTCCTTGAAGCTAAAGGGATCTTATGAGAGGAGTTCCGACGTTTGGTTTTTCATTTTCCCTTCAGGTATCACAACAATTTTTCTTTCACATTCAACACCGATGGCGTCGTGACAAATGGCGCGCGCGGGCCGAGGATCAAAGCCGGATTGGCTCCTGCCTAGACCAACCGAGCCTTCTACCATCCGGGGACAGTGAATTGGTACTAGATTCATCAGCGAGGATAGTAACTTTGACTTGTTCCCTGGCTGACCCATGCAAGTTACTGTATAGGCCACATCTCAATCAGTAAACAACTACAATCCGAATAGAAGTAGAATGCGTTCCGCATTTCGAAAAGGGATTGATCAGCGGCCGAGACTTTATCCTTTTTCCTTCATTCCAGTACCACTTCCTAAGCTTCCCATCGCGTACGGTGGCTTTGCGACTGCATTTGGATAAACATAAAAAAATTGTATCAGGTGACTTTTCAACTCGACAAAGTGGTTAATAAATGTATTATGAAGTCGAGCAATAAACCAGCAACAATGTAACACTTCATATGCAACCCAGTAGAAGATTTCTGTTCTAGCCTATGCCTAGGTCTCTGATACGTACTTTCCTCCGTGACTATTGAGTGTGAGAGGCAATCCTCAGAATCCCACGTCTCGAAGGACAGTTGCAAACGAGAAGCTGGCGATATCGCGTTGATGAAAGTCAAGCATTTTCCATCGGCTGTAAAAAAACCTAATTACGCTTCTGCAAAGGCGAAAAGGACCAACGACTCTTAGTTTGCAATCTGATAATGAGACACAATCCCTGGATAGTCTTTGAACAGCCATAAATTCGTTGGATAGGACAAAATCTATCCAATCATTCTCATCTCTTCTGCTTTCATACTGTATTGACACAATGCCCTACTAGACACTAAAAAGCCGCTCACGCTCTCGTTTTACTACCGCTCAACAGCTACCCCTTTGGAGGCAATTTAGCAGAATTGTGTGACAATTGCTGCTGCAAATTGCTACCCTTGACTGGTTTCGGTGAGCATATTTTGCATGCTTAGGTCGATTTGATGGCACATAGGGGAGGCTAATCCTGAAACAGTGGCATGTTAGAGAGCGGGATCATTTTGCAGAAAG